TCTAACCAATCTAGATCTCCTATGATCCGCCACTTGATCAAGCCTGATCTCCTCTGGTCTCCAATGATCTATCTATCGATTTGTTTAGTTGTCCAATCTAGTCAGACTCTCGCCATTCTGACATTTTCAATGAATCCGCAACGTTTCAAAACATCCGACAACCTCCATTCACATATTGAAGATGGCAAACTTACACTTTTGGCAATTTTCAAAATTCGATTAGAATTTAACCATTCTAACCTCATAATTGCATTCGGAATGGTCTGTTTAGTTAGGACCAACCTTCGCTGCACTTTTGGGGGTCTCACTGAAAATGCTCTCCAAAATTTGGGGCAAAATTATATTTTTTAGAAAAATCTGGACCTTCCTACAATTTTAAGAAACCCAGGGAATATTCCGTTCTCAGCAGGAATATTTCATTAACCGCATCCCTGGCACCGTCTATTGACGTGGCTACCATGTGCGTGTACTACGTCCACTATCAGCGATGACGTGACGCTGATTTGTCGCTAACATGGCATGTTGACCTGTTCGTTTGGGTCGGATCTATCGTGTGCGGGTCGGACCCCTCTTGAGTCGGGTTAACCCACCCGCTGGGGTCATCCTCCATTTTAAAAAAAAAAACATTTCTAAGATACTAGTGGGGGTTTTGAACCCCAGACCTTGGCCTCACCTTGATTCACCTTTTCCGCTCTACCAACATAAGGCTTGTGTTTTATAGTTTCACAAATAAATATTTATTACATAAAACAGAAGGCATGTCTTCTTCAACCTATCCTTCCTGGTTGAACTAAACTTACAGGCAGGGCTTTAGTGACTCTATGGTGACACGCGTGAGGGCGCATGGAACCTCCTTTTAGGATGGTTTTTCTAGGTCTAGGCCTTTCTCGTTGAGGCCTTCCTCTTGGTGTGCTTAAAACTTGATTTGAGCAACCTTATTTCTGGGTTATTTCTGAAAACACACTATTTTTCCCAACTCAGGCTCTGATACCAGCTGTTGGGATCCGAGAATCTCTACCAAGATGTCGAGAACAAACCACACACAAAAAAGACAAACAAATTTAACATGGTTCGGCCCAATGCCTACGTCCACGGAGAGAAACCAATTTTCACTATAACAATGGAAAGAACATAGAAAGATTACAATGGAGGAGGAGACTCTTTCTCACTCAATTCAACACTCAGCTACCCCTTTCACACCAAGGGAGCTCCCTCTCTGCCACAAAGGGTCTCTCTGTTTTTCCTTCTTCCCTCCCTTCCTCTCTCTCTCTCTCTACATTTTTGGTTCACTCACATTAAACTCTCTCTCTTCCCTTCTCTATTTATACACAAAATGAGAAGTGTGAGATCATGTTGACAGTCATTTTTTCTTTTAGCTGGTCTGTGTACACCGTCTTTCGCCAGAGTTAGTGCCTCCATTGTTGAGCATCATAAAAATTCCAATAGCTTTCCTTGACTCTCATATACTACTTTCACATGGAAGAAGAAGAGAAGAACGAGGATCACCCCTTTCACATGGGGTGACCTCGTAACAGTTTCTCCATCTGAATCTTCTTCCTATTAAAGATACACTCATTTCTCATTTTCCAAATAGACTACATTACAACTAATGGTATGACATTCCAAATCTTGTTTTCCAACTTCTTCCACTTAAAACCACTATACCACTCAAATAACCCATCCACCTTGTCAGGCATCACCCATTGTAATCCCCACAATTTCATAAGATTTGACCAAAGCCTCCAAATAATGGGATACCACATCAACACATGATTCATTGTTTCAATCTCTGACTTGCAAAAAATACATTCAACACTAACATTTTATCCGATTACTCCTACTCTTTGGAGATAGACAGCTATTTTAACTCTCTTTTTCCAAGCCAACCAACCAAAGAATTGCACTTTTGGTGGAGTAACATTGTTCCAAATCAGTTTAGTAGCTCCAATGCTACTTCTAGAGGCTTGCCTATTATAAACTGAAAACAAAGCAAACTGACCAGATGGAAAAGCCTTCCAACATAAGCAATCCTCTTTATTTCAAAAGGAAGGAAAGGTAGAGTTTAGCATGCTACTGAGTCTTTCCAGTTCTTCCTCCTCTCAAGCCAATAAAGCCCTCCTAAAATTCAAATTCCAACTTGTTGAGTTTCCTTTTCTTTCTACTATTATCCTCAAAGATGCCTCTCTTTTTTATGACAAATCATACAGTCTTGGACATTCCTCTTTAACAATGAAATTTCCAGCCGAATTTCTCTTTACGGTATCAGAGCCACCTCAGAGTTCTCAAGAAGGCTCTCATATGGCAAATTCTTCTTCTTTTTCCTCTACAATTTTCTTGTAGTCTTACTCTCCTCATCTCAAATCTGAGTTCCTTTGTAACTAGAAAGCTTAATTCAACAAATTTAATCACATGAAAGAATCAATTACAAAATATCTTGTGAGAAACAAAGCTTTTTAGACTTGACATTGAACATCTAATTGTAAACCTATGATAAATCGCACAATTTGTTGTTCTTCAGTCGAAATTTCCCAATGGTGAATACGAAAAATGAGCCTATGATGCCACGACCCAGACCCAAACCCAATATCCAGAGGCTCGGCGTCGCAACAAGACAATAACTGAAGTCATAACAAAGTAATATTGTAGTGGAGTAAAATATAAGGGTATCCAAATCTTAATTTAATTATAACAAAAACATATATATTGGAGTTTCCATTAATTTACATTGCCAGTGCTGAGCTATGACTACAAAGTGCTTTGTGCCCACCTTACCACTGGTCTTAACATGTCATCTAAAAGTGGTTAACAACTGTAACACATGGTAGAGTGAAAAATACTGTACTGAGAGCATAAGGGTATAAAATCACCATGGATAATTATTTGGCTAAACAGAGCTTAGTTTGATATTAAAATACAGAGTATGTAATATGGAAATCATTTTGAATAACAGACATATAATACAAAAATCATATAAAAAAATAATCATAACCACAAAACAAAACAGAACAGAACAGATCAGATGTATGGATTCAAAAGGTGGTTTGTACGAATTCTAGAGGTGGCTCCCACAAAAGTGTAGTACTTAGCTCCGTACAACACTTTGTTCTATACCAAAAATCAAAGGGTCAATGGATCCATGACAACAGAGGGTCACTTAAAGTGACAATTCAGAGGACCAATGGTTACTTAAGTCCCCCAAGACATGAGACCCCGTGGTGGTAAGCAGTTTTATCCATGAGTTTCAATTATAAGCAAATAAGGTTCATTTAACAAATAATATACTTTAAAAACTACCATCATTTGCAAAACAAATTTTACATAAAATAGTTTATGGTAGCTTAAAATATAATATAACTCACCTCAAACTCGATCTTTTACTTCACTTCTAACTTTGGCTCACTCTCTTAAATTCCTCTCGTTTGTTATTCTTGTGATTTTATTACCAAGCAACTCATATATTTATAGGTGAGAAGACCCTTATTATCTAGCACTGTATAGCACACCATGTGGTACCACATGGTACCACACTTTCCATGAGGTTTCTTGAAGCACCATGCACAAGTTCTCTATATTCTACAATGACCCCAAAAAATGTTGTAATTACATTTTTTTTTTCAAATTTAAGTAAATATATTTTAAGGTGTCACATATGAAACTCGTTAATGTAGAATTGAACACATTGAAACCCTTGCAAGCAGTTTTGATAATATTAGAATGATTTCTAGTTGTACTCTGGTTGTACAAATCTAATCAGCATCAATTGCTTCATCTTTTGCCATGATCTTACTAGAGTCTTTTCTTATCTCATATGAGAACTCTACAATTGATCTTACCATTCAAAGGATGATATTCAAGCCTGCTTACCACAAGCATCGCCTTCTTCTCTTCTAGAATCTTCATTTGATCAAATAAAAGTTAATTAAACTTTGTGAAACTAGTTAAGGAAATCATTGGTTAGTGAGTAATGCTAGGGATCATGAAAAAAATATCATGAAAATGATCATGAAAGATGCTCCACCTTTGGATTATACATACAATAAAACACCACACACTAATCAAAGAATGAAAAATCTTCATGATACATTACATAATTTTTTTTTCATGATCCCCAATATTATTTAAAGATAGATTGCCAACCAAAAGGCTCCCTAACTCTTTGTCGGGTGTCTTCTTTGACGTTGCATCCACCTGTCACATCTTCCACTAATGTTATTACCATTGAGTGCTCTATCTTTGTAAGAACGACATGCAATGAGTAAATTACCTAAGTAGAGGTAGGATAATCCTCAAACAGATCACTAGTGAGTATAATCACTAGTAATAGTCTTGCCGAAATTACATCTTAGAGATCTCTTCTAGCACTCTTCTCTACAACATAGTGCTCAACAAAATCTTTTATTTACTTATTGTTTATTTAATAGTCCACATAAGTGAGCTGATTGGGGATACCATGTGGATGCCCAACATTGTTTTATGATTCGTCCATCATTTTTTTGTGTTTTGAATCATGTAAGAATTTATTCCATGTTATTAAGATGGCGCATAACCAATAAGGTATTCTCGGAAACATGATAATTTTAATTTATCTTGAGAGCACACACAATGTCAAAACATATGGGGTAGACATGTTAGTCTGTCCCACTAGGGTAAACATATTTTTCGCCAGGAAAATGTTATTCAATTACCTTGTATTTTTAATGGACTAACTAATATCTACAATAATCAAATAGGTTTTCAACAATGGGATAGAGACAATTGCTCGTACTAGACCAAATGTAAATCCATCATTGCATGCGATATATTTTTTTCCATTTTTTTAAATAAACAAAGAGATTTATTTTGATGCAATGGAATGAAATCTCATTCCATAAAGTTTATTTTCTAATTCTCTTCATTCTTTAGGTTGAAGATTAGATTTTATGCAATAATTGGTTAAGTGGAGAAAAAAAATGAATATTATGTACTGATATGTTAATCTATATATTGAATTCAATTTGTAGGTGGTGATATCATTTGCAAAAATCATACTTAATGCAATTCAACCAGGCATAGAAACTCTGGGAAGGTTTCCTGGAACTGACATGTTCTGCGATGTGAATCAATACCCTATGGCTATGAAAACTCCTGGGATCCTTACAATCCGCATCAAGTCCGCCTTGCTTTGTTTTGCTAATGCCAATTTCATTAAAGAAAGGTATCTCACATAAAAATTATATAATGCAAATGCACAAAAATATCTAGATTAATGATTCATCTGCCGAATTACTTAGCCCGAATGAGTCTCTTCTTGGAAAGAGACTCGCACATGGGAGACTTTTCTCGAGAAGAGACTCATTCAGCAAATTCGAGCTAAACAAATTCGGTGAATGTAGCTGTGTTGAAATATCTAAGGGTTAATTATACTTTTCATGAATTTTTGAGTGTAAATTACACTTTTCACCTTTGCACATTACAATGAATCCCACTTTGGTCTTCATTTTTCAATTGTAGTGAACTCCTTTCAATTTTAGTCAAGTTGTAATGTGGCCTTTCCATTAATTTGATGTTAAACTTATTAAGGGAAATTAAGTAAATTACACTTTACACCCTGCACTTTATATCAAATCCCACTTTATTTTTCAATTATAATAATCAATCTTTTGTACTTTCAGCCAAGTTGTAATACGGCCCTTCCGTGAGTTTGGTGTTAAACCAACTAAAGAAAATTGCCTTATGACCTATACATGAGGCCTTTTTAAGTCAAAAATATAATTTTATTTCCTTTTCTCTATCTTTTTTTATTTTTTATTTTATTTTATTGGATTGTCTAAACTCACCACGACCAACGAACTACCTTGTCCCTGTTACTCCTCCAACATTTTCTCCTGGCCCCCCATTCCCCACTATGCATGGCTACTGCCCACCCCTTTTCCACTACCTCTATCCTTTCTCCATCGACTTTTGACCATGCAACACTAACCCCATCGTCTACTTGCCAACCTCACCCTTTTCTCACTATCTAAGGCCACCCCAACCATGAAAGAGGTGGTTAGTGGTACTGGTGGGTTTAGAAAATACTGTAGAGTAAGATACTATGAAAAAAACAAAGAAAAAGTAAAGCATAGAAGGAAATTACATTTTTATCCTTAAAAATGCTTCAAGTGAGGATCACATAACAATTTTTATTAGGCAATTTAATACCAAACTAATGGAAAGGATACATTGAAATTTGATCGAAAGTGGAAGAGAGTGGAATGTTACAATTAAAAAATGATGGACCAAAGTGAGATTTGATGTAAAGGGTAGGGGTGCAAAGTGTAATATTTCCTAATTTGTATGTTAACGAATTTAACACCAAACTAATAGAATGACTACATTGCAACTTGACTGAAAGTGCAATGGGTTGACTATTACAATTGAAAAATAAAGGACCAAAAGTGGGATTCAGTGTAAAGTGCAATAGTGGAATATGTAATTTACCCAAATTTCAGTTTGATCCGTTCACTTTTAATTGTGATAGTTAATCTCTTACACATTCTTAGTTTCCCAATATTTGAATCACTCAATTCCTCTCGTAAGTTAAATTACAAAGTCATTTTTCCATCAATCTTGTGTTAATAAGGCTAACAACAACTGTCATGCTGATATGTCCATGACATTTTCTTAATGACACAATTAAAATAGATGCAACCAAAATAAAATGTTGATAAAAGTGCATAGATGCTAATGAGACAAGGAAATGCCCTCAAAAAATTGTCACGTATGACTCACATATATAGGAGGGACATTGCAATGTGATGTAAATTGTAATATGTTAATTGTTACAATTAATAGTTGAGAAACTATAGTAATATTTTGGTGAAAGTGTATAAATGTTACCAATTAACCAAAGATCTATTTTCATCAAGTTTTAATGCCATATTTCTTTGTTATTGTAGGATTTTGAAGCGGGTGAATGAGAACGAAGATGTGGATACCAAAGGAAAAGTTGAGGAAAGAATCCAACTAGTCATTCTTGACATGTCTAGTAAGTAATTTCGTCCTAGGTAAAATCAAGATGATAATCCAAAATTGAGATTTAATTTGAAATGGATGGCAAACTAGAGTTAGCGAATTCAATTGGCCGGACTTGGTCTTTACATTTGACAATTGAAACATAGTTTGTCTCAAAACAAATTGGAATAATAGATTATCATCATCCTTATCTATATAAAAATAGATTATATATTCCACAAAGTGTCAATACATTCTACTTTTCTTTTATTAAAATATTAATCTTGATTACAGATTTGATGAATATTGACACATCTGGAATTGCTTCGCTTGAGGAACTACAAAACAAGCTTATGTTGCATGGCACTGAGGTAAAAGAACATTATGGATTTCTAGATTATGTTAATAATCTTGGTTTGAGGTTTGAAAGTCAATTAAAATGCCTCTCTCTCTCTCTCTCTATATATATATATATACATATCTTGCAGTTAGCTATGGCCAACCCTAGATGGCAAGTGATTGAAAAGCTTAGACTAGCCAACTCTGTGAACAAAGCAGGTGGTAAGATCTTCTTGACTGTGGTAGAAGCTTTGGATGCCTGTGTTAATGCTAGGATGGGTTAGCATTGCAGTGTCATTGGATGCTTGATTGCCTTCTTTGTGTGGTCTAGACATAGTCCCATACTACTTATTATGTAATATATAATTGGGACATAAAATAAAAGGAGATGATCATTCTAATCTCCTCTTTCCAAGCTATAAGAACATTAACTTTTGATTTGAGTAATTTTATGTTGTGAGAGCTTCCATGCATGTATCAAAGTTATGTAATTTCAAGTGGTAATTGCAATATATGTCTTGGCTTTTTAAGGTTTCATTGTTTCAAATATTCATGGGTTGGCAAGTAGAAATCATAAATCTATCAATATCACTGGCCATGAAATGTAGTGACAAATTTATCAATGATAATAGTTTATAAATGCTCTTAAGTGCATTACATGGATTCCAAGTCTTATGCACAATTAGTGGCTGCAAGTAATGTGTAGAAGTTGAATCAACAAATGCTAAAAGAGTAATTATGATCTTAGGGCCAACATTGTTGATCAAATAGAGAGTTTTTCCTTCCATTGGGAACCAAGCAGTGTGTTGGTAGCAAAAAAAAAAAAAAATGGAGGCTGGAGGTTGGAACCCAGTGTTGAGAAGAAGACGAGTGGGTAATCAAGGTAACAGATCAATGGAAAATGGTTTGTTTGCCATCTTTGTGGATGAGATTCCAAACTCAATAAGTTCTAAGAGTCTGTATACTCTGTTTAATAAGTTTGGAGTAGTTAAGGATGCTTTCACCCCAGCAAAAAGAAAAAAAGCAACGGGATCAAGGTTTGGGCTTGTGAGATACGATTGCAAGGTTGCTGCTGAAAAGGCGATGCTAAAGGCTGATGGACAGTGGTGTGACAACAAGGCACTGAAAGTGAAGAAAGCAGAGTTCAAAAAAGGAGAGTATAACCAACATGCAATGGTAACCAGAGGAGATGATAGCATGATGCAGTGTCAACAGAGGAGTTTCGTGCAACGAATGGTGGAAAGTGTAGGCAGAAGATCCTTTGCAGAAGCATTACAGAATGGAGGCCATTATGATAAGGCGCAGCTTACTGTGAAGGCCTATGAAACTAGAAATGGGTGGCTTTATGATAGTCTAATGGTCAAGCTTAAATCTCTTCTCTCATTCAATGAGTTTAAGGAGGAGATTGCTAGAAGAGATGCAAAAGATGTAAGAGTCAGAGTTGGGGGAGAAAGGTTAACAATACTAACCTTCAAATCACAACCACACAAAAAGGAGGAAAGATCCGAGCTAGAAGAGTGGATGGTACAATGGTGCGATTATGTTACAGATTGGGAGAAAGGAAAAAACATTGCACAAGAAAAGTATGTGTAGATTACATGTGTAGGTGTTCCATTCAATTTGTGGAGGGTTAATACATTTAGAGACATTGGCAATTTGTGGGGTGAGGTTGTTTAACTAGCTGAAGACATCAATAGCCATAATTCTTTTCAGTGTGGGAAGGTAAGAATAATCACTAATAGATTGGAGTTCATCAACGCGGTGATTAATGTTGAATGTAATGGAAGTATTTTCCCAGTTAGAGTGTGTGAAGAGCTCCCAACAGCAGTACAACCATATCAGTGCAAAAGTTTTTGCCTGGAAAATGAGGTCATTGCATCTATGGTTTAAGAGGAAGTAGATCAACTGTCAAAAAATGAGGGGGAGGACACGGTGAAGAGAGATTCATGGGTGAAAGAAAAGAGTAATGAGTGGCAATCTGCATCAGCCGTAAAAGAAACGATGGATGTCATGGGAAATCCAAATGTCAGAGAAGTAGGTGGGGAAAACAGCCAGGTGCCTATGGAAATTCCAAGAAATGAAATTCAAATAGGTGAAAGGCATCTATGTACTCCTAAGTGTAACAAAAGCCTTAGTGGGTCTGAGAGTCTGTTTTGAAAGTTCTTTAGGCTAGGGTATTGGCAACTAGGCCCATCATTCAACCTTTAAACATAAGGGACTGTGTAGCCTAAACTCAACTTAGGCCTCTTGTTCTGCAACTAACCCAAGATAGAGTTATAGAATAGGGAGACCCATCACGAAGGGGGAGGATTACTAAACCTGAGATGTGCAGAAGTAAAAAGAAAGGAGCTGATCTAAGAAATAGGGCAAAGCTTAGTCGAAAACAAACTAAGCATAAAGGTGCCTCGTTCGGCAATTGTTTTCAAAGAGGAGTTATCTTTAGAGCAGCAGTAACTACAATATCACTATCAGTTATCAGTTGAGCAGAGCATTAACTCAAGGAAAAGGAATAAGTTCCTAAGTGAAGCTCCTAAGTGAAGCTCAAGCTACTATGGAAGTTGGAAAAATCCTAGGTTTGAACTGTGAAGGAAAAGAGCAAAAGGTGGTTAGCAAACTAATTGAACTCGAAGAGAAGGATCTGGAGAGAATTGAAGGGAATGGTATTAATCCCTAGGCCAGCTCAGGGTAAAGAATAGGGGGATTTGGGATTTGGGATTTGTGAATAGTGTTTGTCTATGATTATCTTATCTTGGAATGTTAGAGGTCTGGGAAGACCAGAAAAGAGAAGAAAAATTAAAAACTTAGGTAGGGAAAGGAAGATTGATGTTCTTTCACTGCAAGAGACTAAGAGAAGCAAAGTAGATGAAATGTTTGCCAAGTCATTATGGCCATGGAAGGAGCTGGAGTGCATGGAGGTGGGTGTAGAAGGAAGTGCTAGTGGTTTGTTGTGCATGTGGAATACACTAATCTTTGAGCTTATAGAGTGTTGCAGCAATAGAAACTTCATACGATTATTAGGTATGGCTAATCTAGCTTCTAGTTGTGTTATCTTAAATGTATATGCACCCAATGATATATTGAAAAGAAGACAATTATGGGACTCCTTAGCTAAGCTTAAACCAGTTTTTTCATGTCCTTGGTGTATATGTGGAGATTTTAATGAAATAAGATTCATGAGTGAAAGAAAAGGATGCTTTAGATGGGAAAGAGGGATGAAGGACTTCAATGAATTGATTGAAAAACTAGAATTAATAGATATGCCAATGTTAGGTAGAAGTTTCACTTGGTGTAATGCAATGGATGGTGATAGATGGAGTAGGATTGATAGATTCCTACTAAACCCTAGGTGGCTGGAAAAATTCAAGTTCAAACACTGGGGGCTACCTCGTAGCATTTCTGATCATTGCCCAATACTCCTCATGGAAGATGAGAGGGATTGGGGCCCAAAACCATTTCGATTCATAAATGCATGGTGTTTGCATTCTAAATTCAAAGAAGAGGTAAAGAAATATTGGGAAGGATCACGAGTTAGTGGGTGGGCAAGTTATATGTTATTGAAAAAACTAGGAATCTTGAGAGTACGTTTGAAAATGTGGAATTGTGAAGTGTTTGGCAACCTTGATGAGCAATTGAAACAAGTAGAGGATGAAATTCATGAATGGGATTTAAAAGCTGGAGAAAGGATTCTCCAAGACTTTGAGATTAAAAGAACTGCAGAAATTAGAAGTTTAGCATGAGATCTGAGCAAAGAAAAAAAAAAGGAATAGTTGTGGCATCAAAAATCTAGAATGGTATGGGCCGAAAATGGAGATAAAAATACCAGGTTGTTTCACATAATGGCAAGTACAAAGCAGAGGAAAAATTTGTTGAACTCAATCAATGAGCATGGAGTATTACATGATCAACCTGGGATGATTAAACAGGCTGTGGTAAGTCATTTCAGTTAGTTGTTCATTGAAGGATGGATGTGTAGACCAAAGTTGTTAGGTGTTTTTGCCTCAATTAGCCAAACCGATTCAACTAAACTATTGGAGGCATATTTTCTAGAGGATGAAATCTGGGAAGCAATTAAAGACTGCAATGGTAACAAAGCTCTGGGGCCAAATGGTTTTAATTTAAAATGTATTAAAAAATGTTGGGACATCATGAAATGGGAGATTGTGCAGATGATGTATGAATTCCACTCCAATGGAAAGTTGGCCATAGGTGTGAATAGTTCATTTATTACCCAAATTCCTAAGAAGGAAAATCCTGTGGGCCTGAGTGACTATATACCAGTCAGTTTGGTTAGCTCAATGTATAAAATAATAGCTAATGTCTTATCAAGAAGGTTGAGGCAGGTTTTACCCAAGATCATTAGTGAAGTACAAACGGTGTTTCTAAGTGGAAGATACATTCTAGATGGAGTACTAATTGCCAATGAAATGGTGGATTAGTGGAGAAGGTCAAAAAATAAAGGAATCATCCTAAAATTGGACTTTGAAAGGCGTACGACTCAGTAAATTGGGAGTTCTTGTATTCGATGATGGCCAATTGTGGTTTTGGTGAGACATGGGTGGGATGGATAAAGACTTGTATATCTACAGCTAGAATCTCAGTGCTAGTAAATGGATCACCTACATCAAAGTTTTTCCCCCATGAAAGGCCTCAGGCAAGGTGACCCACTTTCACCTTTTCTCTTTAACATTGTAGCAGAGGGCCTTAATATTCTCATGGAAAGAGCAAAAGAAGAGGGTCTGATCAGAGGAGTATCAGTGAAAGTCTTTGCAAAGAAACTTAATTGCCTCAGTCAAAAGTTGCCAATGAACTATCTGGGGCTCCCATTAGGAGCAAATCCAAGGAGAAAGAGTACATGGAAACCAGTGGTGGATAAGTTCAAGAGCAAGTTAGCTTCAGGGAAGAGAAGGTATTTGTCTTTTGCAGGAAGATTAACTTTGATAAAGTCTGTGTTGACAAGCTTGCTAATCTATTTCCTATCCATCTTCAAGCTGCCAGTGGGTATTTGTAGACACCCCATTTTTGACCGACCTTAAGACTCAGACGTCACCAATTGAGCGCTCGATAATATTGCATATTGTGCTCGTTCTGACGTTGCGGAGTCTCGGCTCCGAGCCTTGCCTCCAGACTTCGGGGCTCTTTTGTGCTTTGCCTCAGTTTGTGAACCGGGTCCTGTTTTCACTATTTTCTCTTCCCGAAGGGAAGGAGAAGTCTCGTAAACCATCTCTCAGTGGCTGTAGGCTACGTTTCGTGGTCGTAGGCCATTTTTCCCGTTTGGAGCCCAGTTTCTGATTTTCGGAGCCGTCGGCCATGTGCCTCGGTTCGGGACCGCTTAATTACTTCCGTTTGCTCCGATTTTTGGCACACACCTTATTTCCTCCCTTTAGAGGGACACTGTGGCCTGGGGGACCACCTTCGTGGTCATACGCCACTTCCGGTGCCTAACAGCTTCTTTTCGAGGCCCCGGACTGCGCGTTTTGGCCCCCAAACCCTCGTTTTGCATCGGTTAGGGTTCATTTTTGGCAGGGACCCT